TTTCGTGCTCTAGGGAGTCTGGACGAAATTTTGGGATCCGGAGAAATGAGCAGCTGTCTATTTATGGACTTCAGGAAGGGGGTCCAGAACGGCCCGTTCCAAAATCGGAACGGCCGTTCTGGATATGGCCGTTGTGCCTACATTTTGTACCCTAGAACGTCCCGTTCTGAAATCGGAACGGCCCGTTCCGGGGGAACCAGAACAGCCCGTTCTGAATTCGGAACGGCCCGTTCCGGGCCCCTAAAAAATCCCTAATTTGTCTTTTGGGTCCCTGACATCCTATATTGTTGTTTTGTACCTCCCGGACGAAATTGGGTTCAGGCGTGAGACTCCTTGGGAGTCTCTGTCTCGAGGGCGCTGAGCGCAATTTGGTTTGCGCTGGGCACGAAACCAAGGGACGTCTCTGCCTTACCTGCGCTGGGCGCGGGTTGGGGCGCGCCGGGTGTGTGAGACTCCTTGGAGTCTCTGCCTGGCCTGCGCTGGGCGCAATTGAGTATTGCGCCAGGCGCGAGAGAGAGCTTAGGAATCTCTGGCTAAGTCTCGCCGGGCGCAGGCACGCTTGCGCCGGGCGCGCTGGCCCCTGGAGCCCTCTGGTTGTGCCACGCTGGGCGCGACCATGAGTGCGCTGGGCGCGTATGAGGATGTGAAGTTATATGCTAAATTTGATGATAATGTTGTTTATGCTGGCTAATGCTGAACTTTATTGTTTGAGTCGAGATGAATTATATGCTGATAGTTGTTGAATTATGTTGTAATTGCTGAGCTGAGAGGTTATGGATAATTATGCTGTACTGACTAGATGTAAATGCTGAAAGATGATGTTAAGCTGAAATAGATGAATATAGTTGTGCTGAGCTGGGCTGTAATTTATGATTTTGAAATGCTGTAATTGTATGATAATGCTGTGCTCTAGAATGACGAGCTGAGTTGTGAGTAGTAGGCTGTGTTGAATACTACCTAGCTGTGTTGTATGCTGTGTTGTGCTGTGCTGTGTTGTGCTGTGCGGAGTGGTGTGATATTATAGCCGCTAAGTCAGTGTTGTTACTAGCCACATAGGTGGTGCTGTTATAGTCGCTAAGTCGGTGCTGTTGTTGCCGCTTTGCGGTGCTGTTATAGCCACTTGAGTGGTGCTGTGATTGCTGCTTAGCAGTGCTGATATTGCCGCATTGCGGTGCTGATATTGTTAGGAGGTATAAGCTGTATAGGTGTGCTAATAACTGTAGCTGGTGTTTATTATATTGCTATATAATTGTATGTTGATTTTTAATTACACTAGCTTACCCTTTGTTGTTTCCATGATGTTTGGACTGCAATGATCATACTATGTATGGGAGCAGAGCAAGGATAGGTGGGTGTCTAGTGGTGAGTCTTCAGCGGACCGGCGGAGCGGATGTTCCTTTATGGTTGTTTTGTTGTTGAGCTACTTGGGATAGTAGCATTTGATTGTAAAATTTTTGTACACTTTAACTCTGTTCAGATTGGATCATGTATATGTATATTCTAGACTCTATATGTATACAGTTGTTCTTTCTGTGCGGTGTTTCTAGTGTGCTGTGCCTTGTGTAGGGACCAGCCGGGTCGTTACAACATCGGGGCAAAGGATTTTTTTAGAACATAGGTTTTTATTGTAAATGATATTTTTGGAAAATAATTTGAAAACTCTTGCTTTTCATTTTTGTTATTGTGGTTATTGAAGGATAATTTTTAAGATTCTCATGTGAACCCTTTTACCGAAATTGAAAAATTTATTTATAAGTTTTTATTATTACAATTTATATGTTGGGGTAGTAAGGGTGTCACATCTAACATATATGTATAACTTCTAGTCTTCTTTTCACCCAAATCATGCACAAATATATGGCATATTATCCAATATATGTCAAGAAAAATGTATATACTTGCATTGTTAAAAAGACTAAAAGTTATACTTACCTTTACTTGAACTTTCACTTGTACTATCAAAAGATGTACGAGTCTCAATGTCATTTTCTTCTTGTATTTGTTGTTCTAAATACAATTGATGATTAAAACTTAACACCATTAGACTCTCTTTATTGTCTATTATAAACAATTCATATAAAATAAAATAATTTCAGCTGATAAAATTTATATACCTCCAAATTGTATATTTTCTTCAATAATAGGGTGATTATTTTGAGTAGTATTCAACTTTCTACACTTCCCCATAATACTTATTACAAATCAAAATGCCTCTGACTAGAAAATGAGAGATGACAACACTGTTAATTAGTTAAAATAGGAGTAAATACACTCTGTAAATTATTCAATACAAGTAAGTTTGGGATTTAAAATGAATAAAAGAATAGAAAACTTAAGAAAAAATTACTAAAAAATGTAATAAGATGTTTAATACAAGTATACTAAAAGTATAACCAAATGTTCAAATAGAAGTGTAAAAAAATTTAAAAGAAGTTTTCTTCACTTTCATCTTCTACATTATTGTAATCCTCTATATTTTGGCAAACGTTCTCCATACACATCAAGAGAGTATAAAATTCTTCCACAAGAGGCTACATATAAACATCAAGGTTACAACCTGGACCTTTTGGACCTGGAATAATATAAAATTTGGTTGCTTCATACACATCCATGGAGGAAGATTATATGGAATCAAGATAATAGGCCAAGTACTATGAGGAGTCTTCACAATTTTGAAAAGATTAATAAATCCATCATAAGCCAAACCCAATCGAATGTTACGAGGCTCACAAGAAAAATTAGGACATTGGCAATCAAAATCCTTCCAAGCAAATGAATCAGTTGGATGTCTTAGAAGTTCATCTTTAGTTCGACCATCCTTGTGCCATGTCATAGAAGAAGCTATTTTTGATGATAGAAAAAGTCTTTGTAGTCTTGGTATAAGAGGAAACCAATGAAGAATCTTTGCGAGTAACTTTTTTTTTACATTCAACATCATCAGAGTTGTGTTTCCATCTTGATAACTTACATTTTGGGCAATTTTCAACATTAGTCAAATCCCTCGTATACAATATACAGTCATTAGGACAAGCATAAATTTTTTCATATGATAGACCCAACCCAGAAATAATCTTCTTTGTATCATAAAATGATTTGGGTAAAGTATTTTCTTCTAGTAAGGCATCACTTAATAACTCTAACAACATTGTAAAACTTTTGTCAATTCACCTATTTAGGCACTTTAAGTGATACAAGTGAACAATGAATGAAAATTTTGTGAACCTTTTACAACCAGGATAAAGTTTTTGCTATGCCTCATTTAATAACTGACAGAGCTTATATGAATTATTACCTTCTTCAAATTATTGAACATTGGGTTCATTCATGAATGCTCTAGAATCTCCATTCTCGATGTTTATATTTGTATCATCACTTTCATTAATTGCATGCATCTCGCATGCATTATGAATCAACGTATCCATATCATGATCATACACCCCTTCCACTTGAGATGTACCTAGAGAACTAGAAGAGCCAACTTGTTCACCATGAAAGATCCAAATTAAATAACATATCATCTTAGAAATCCATTACAAATTATGTACTCATAAACATCCATTTGAGAGTGCCACTTGCAATTGACACATTTAGTACAAGGACATAAAGTTTTTTCGTCCTTGAAAGATTTAGCAAAGGCATGTAGACCCCTAAAATTGTCCGGGTCGGAAATACTCTGTCTCGAGGGCGCTGAGCGCAATTTGGTTTGCGCTGGGCACGAAACCAAGGGACGTCTCTGCCTTACCTGCGCTGGGCGCGGGTTGGGGCGCGCCGGGTGTGTGAGACTCCTTGGAGTCTCTGCCTGGCCTGCGCTGGGCGCAATTGAGTATTGCGCCAGGCGCGAGAGAGAGCTTAGGAATCTCTGGCTAAGTCTCGCCGGGCGCAGGCACGCTTGCGCCGGGCGCGCTGGCCCCT